GACCGGCGTCACCACCATCTGGTAATAGCAGTGCCCGCTGCGGGGCCGAGAGGAGAGGGGTGGGCATGGGGGGGGGGACACGCACACGGGGACCCGCCAGCCCTGCCCGCCGCGGCTGCTACCTACCAGTACAGCTTGGAGCGCTCCACCAGCGCGTAAGTGTCCCCGTCCCCGATGAACGTGTGGCAGTTGAGGCAGCTGAAGCACTCGGGGTGGTACTTCTGCTCCCCGGCCACCTGCAGGCGGGCTCCGTCAGCACGAGGCACCCTCGGGTGCCACCCCCGGCCTCCTCCCCGCGCAATGGGGAACTCCGGGGTGGCCGCGAGGACCCACGCGGAGAGAGCGCCGTGGGCGAGCGTCCCCGCAGCCTTACCATGACGAGCCCCTTGGTGATCTGCTCGGCGCAGCCGTGGCACAGCTCCCCGAAGCGCGCCCAGTAATCCTTCTTGCAGTACAGCCGCCCATCCTTCTCGTAGTACTGGTGGGACAGCGACGCCCCGCACTCGCAGCACCTGCGGTGGGGACCGGGGGAGCGCATGGGGACACGGCGGGGTGACAGCCCCACGGCTGCCAGCGCAGGCTGTGTCCGTGTGTCCGTGTGTCCGCCTGTCTGTCTGCCACCCACCCGGTGCCAGCGGGGTCCCGCGGGCCCTGCTGACGGTCACGGCCCCGACGTGACTCAGGACGCGGCCGCCCCCGCTATTTATGGGACACGGGGGGGGGGGGAGGGGGGGCAGCCAAAAGGGGGGACCCCAAAATCCGGGGCTGGGTGGGATGGGGCCAGCAGGACGGGGGCTGCGGGGCTGGGGGGGGGGCGGTGCCGGGGGGTTGTTGGGGGGGGGGTGCGGGGGGGGCGATGCCGCAGTGCCCCCCCCCGGGGCCAGGAGCAGCAGCAGCGCGGTGTGACGTCACGGCGCGGAATTTCCCCACCCCATGACGTCACCGCGCGAGGACTCCGCGCCGGCCCCGCCCCTTTAACCCCCCCGCTGCCGCCGCCCGCTGAGCCCCGACGGGGCGGCCGCTGGGTGTCACGGGGGGGGGGGGGCACAAACGCCGCCGCCCCGCAGCCCCCGTTTCCCCTCGCCGCCAGTCCCGTCCCGTCCCGTCCCGTCCCCCCCCCGTTAGGCCGCGGGGCCGCGGGGGGAGGCCGCAGGCTGCCGGAAACCCGCCTGCCCCGGGGCGCGGGGGGGGCCGGATCCAGCTGCAGCCCCCGCAGCGCGGGTTGCGCTGGGGCTGGTGGCCGCGGGTCTGTCCCTCTGTCCGTGTGTCCGTGTGTCCGCCACAGCCTCGGGGTGCGGGGTGCGAGCATGGGGGGGGGGGGGGTCAGGAGCCCCCCGGGGCTGCAGAGGAGCGCGGGTCCCATCCCGCCCCCCCCCTCCCACCCCCCCCTTACTTGGCTCCGGCGCTCAGCGCCCGGCTCTTCCTCAGCACCGCCGCCAGCATCCTCGGCACCGGGCGGCACCGGGCGGCACCGGGCGGCACGGCACAGCCCGGCCCGGCACGGCCACACCGAGCCCCCCCCGGCCCGAGCCGCCCCCCCCCGGCCCGGCCTCCTCCCGTCGCCTCCCGCTGCTCGAGGCTCGGGGAGGGCGCGACAAAGAGGAAGCGGGGAGGGCCGGTGGCGGTGACATCAGCCCGCGGCCCCTCCGCACCCCCCGGGAGGGAAGGGGGGGGGGCAGGAAGCCGGGCCGGGACCCCGCGGGACGCCGCACGGGGGGCAGAGCCCCCGCCGCCCGCTGTCACCTCGGTGCCCCCCCCGCGGGTCCCACCTGAAGCAGTCGGCGTGCCAGTCGGCGTTCAGCGCCTGCAGGTACTGCCCGTCGTAGATGCCCTGCCCGCAGCTCGCACACACCGGCAGGTCGGTCCCTGGGGGACAGGGCTGTCACCCGGCTGCTGTCACCCGGCCACTGTCACCCGGCCGCCCTCCCCAGCCCGGGCACGGCCACGCCACAGGCTCGCAGCTCCGGCCGCCTGCGCCACCCCCCTGTGCCCGCAGGGACCGAAGCCACCCCCAGCTCCCAATCGATGGATCCATCGATCCCCGGGCTTCGGAACGGGGACAAGGTCACTGCGCTCGTGTCCCCAGCATGGGGGGATGTGGGGACAGGGCTGAGCACGGGGCAGGGGTTGACCTCTGCCACCAGGACGTGGCCAGAGTCCCCGTCCCCTCGGCAGAGGGCTGGCTGGGACGCTGCCCCCTGGTCCCCCCAGAGGCAGTGCCAAGGGGAGCAGTGCACGTCCCCGGGGTGCTGGGTGGCTCCAGGGGCTGGTGGTGCAGGGGACACAGGGGGACATCGGGACACAGGCCCCATGGGGCTGGCAGGGCATCAGGGACATGGAGGGGCACAGGGCAACGGAGAAGGGGGACAGAGAGGAGCAGGAGTCGGGGAGGGAATGTGGGGCAGGCGGGGGATGCCAGAGGGGCAGGAGGGGTGACCCTGGGGTGGGAGGGTGCAGGGGGCGTGTGGGGGTCCTCACAAGGGACACTGGGTGGGATGGGGACGCAGGGGGTGCGGGGGTGCCTGGTGCAAGGGGATGGGGGAGGCTTTGGGCAGCAGAGGGGTGCAGGGAGGAAGGGGTGGGGTGATGTGGGTGTGGGGGATGTCGGGGTGCCCAGTGGTCAGGGGGATGTGGGGAGACTGGGGGGCCCAGCAGGTCGCAGCTGCAGGACAGATGTTTGGGGTGCACGGAGCGGGGACAGAGGGGATGCCTGAGTGCTTGTGGTGGGCAGGCAGGGGGGCATGGGTGGGGAGGGATCTGGGGGGCACACGCTGGGGTGCAGGATGGTGCCAGGGGGATGAAGGGGTGAATGAGGCGTGCAGGGGGGGAGAGGGGGCAAAGGTGTGCTGGATGGGTGCAGGAGGGGATGAAGGGGGGGGACAAGGGGAGTCTACAAAAGAACGAAGGGCTGCAGGATGCGAGGAACAGAAGATGCTTGCAGGGATACAGAGGGATGCAGGATGGGTGCTGGAGGATGTAATGGGGAAGACGGGGTGCTGGGTGGGTGCAGAGAGGGAGGTGGGGGGGGGTGAAGGGGGTGTGGAAGGAGCTGAAGGGGTGCAGGATAGAAGGGGTGCAGCGGATCCAAGTTACGTGCAGGGATACAGGCGTGCAGGATGGGTGCTGGGGGATGCAGGCACACGCAGGGATGCAGAGGGGCGCAGGAGCAGCGTGGGGCTGCAGGACAGGGAGCGGGCTGCCTGCAGGGGCACCAGGGGCGCAGGATGGGTGCAGGAGGATGCAGGGGGTGTGCAGAGGGTGCTGGGGCACGGGGCAGCCAGGGTGCAGGAGCATCACAGGATGCACGCAAGGATGCAAAGGGCGATGAGGAAGATGACGGCACTGGAAGGGATGCAGGGGAAGGGTGCAGAATGGAACAGGGCACAGGGACAGGGGAGGATGGGGGCCCGCAGGGTGGCATGGGGCGCACTGGGGGGTGCGGGGCTCAGGGCAGGAAGGTGCAGGACGGGGGGGGCTGCAGAGGCACCGGGAGAGTGGGTTTGATGCAAGGAGTCCAAGGGGTCCAGAGTGGATGTGAGGCGCAGCCGGGATGTCGGGGTGCAGGGGAGGATGCAGGCTGGGTGGGGGATGAGGGGTGAGCTGGGGGGGCAGGGGTCACAGGGGTGCAGGGGGGAGTCAGGCTGGAGGGGGCTGATGGGGGTGCAGGCTGGGTAGGGGTGCAGTAGGGGATGTGGGGGTACAGGGGGAGATATGGGGGTGCAGGGGGTGCATTGGGGGATGTGGGGGTACAGGGGGAGATGTGGGGGTGCAGTAGAGAGATGTGGGGGTGCAGGGGAAGATATGGGGGTGCATTAGGGGGATGTGGGGGTGCAGGGGAGCACAGACTAGATACGGGGTGCATGCAGGATGTAGGGATGCTGGAGGGACACAGGCTGGATTGTGGATTGGGGGTGTGGGGGGGATGCAGGGGGAGATGTGGGGGTGCAGCCTGCATGGGGGTGCAGGGGAAGAGATCGGGGTGCAGGGAGAACGTCTGGGGGCAGCCGGGGCTGCAGGCGTAGGGCTGCGGTGGGGAATGAAGGGGACGACGCCGGGGTGCAGGAGGGGTGCGGGCTGCACGGGGCACGCGGGGGAAGATTTCGGGGAGACACCGGGGGGGGGGCGCGGGGGGGGGCGCGGGGGTGACCGGGGAGACGTGGGGGGGGGGGGGGGCGGCAGGAGGATGGGGAGGGGGCGATGCGGGAGCGCGGGGGGCCGCGGGCCGGATGGGGGCCGCGGGGAGGCCGTGGGGGGGGCAGCGCGGAGCCGGGGGGGGGGCGGCGGGGGCCGGCGGAAGCGCTGAGTCAGGCGGGGCCGGGGGTCACGCACCTTCCTCCTCCCCCATGGGCTCGTCCCTCCAGGTGCAGCACAGCAGCATCAACCTCATGCGGCCCCGCCGCACGGCGCCGCGCCAGGCCCGGCCCGGCCCCGCCGCACCGCGCCCCGGCCCCGCGGCCCCGCTCCCGCTCCCGGCCCCGCCGCTGCGGCTCCGGCTGCGGCTGCGGCTCCGGCGGCACCGGCGGCAGGGGACGGGCCGGGGGGCGCAGGGCGCCGGCGCGGGGGCGGGGAGGGGAGGGGCCTGGGGAGGGGGCGGGGATGGGGGCGGGGATGCGGGGGGGTGGCGGGGGTCGCCGTGAGCACGGGCGGGCGTCCGCGGGTGTCCGAGGCAGGCAGGGGGTGTCCCGCGGTGCCCCCGTGGAGCTGGGCACGGGCGTCCCCTGGTGCCTGGGGGTCACCGAGGGGCCCGGGGGGGTGTGACGGGGCAGGCGGGGGGTGTCCCCCGGTGTCACAGTCACCTCGGGGAAGGGCTGGCCCCCCCGTGTCCCGAGGCTGTCGCCCCGTCTCAGGGCATGGACATGCCCCTGGGGGCCCGGGATGTCCCCGCACGTGTCCCCGGTGTCACCGCGGAAGGTGTCAGGGGGCCGCAGAAGCAGGAGGGAGGCAGAATCCTTTAAAAACTTGTCCTTTATTAGTCTGTTGGCAGCGATTCCCCCTGCGTAGGGCGTCCCACCCAGTTATATCAAAGTGAGTAACATGAAGGGAGCCGGGGGGGTCGCAGGGCGGCGGGGACAAGCCCCCCCACGTTGTCCCCTGCCGCCGGGACCCCCTCCCTCCCTCCCTCCTTCCCCCCCCGGTGCCCCTCGTGCCCCCCACTCGGCCTGCCCCCCCCCCGGGTCAGCTCTCGCCACCCACCCCGGGGGGCAGCACCGGGGCAGGGGGTGTCAGGGGGGTCCCAGGCCCCCCCGCAGGGAGCGATAGCACCAAGGGGGACAGCTGCTCCCCGCAGTTTATTCCGCGCTCCCTGGGGGGGTCGGGGGGGAGAATTCCCGGGGTGGGGGCAGGCCCCGGCGCTGCTGCCGCACCGTGGGGTCCCTCCCGGGAGCGTGGGGCCGGGGGGCCAGGGGGGTCTCAGCTGGGCTGGGGATTTACATTCTGGACCATGCAGTAGCACCAAAGTTCATGAGGTTATCGGTGGGGCGGGCGGTTACTTCCGCTTCCTCCCGCAGTATTTCCCTTGTGCGCAGCCGACTCCACCTGGGTTGGGGGGGGGGACACCGGGTCAGCCCCCCCGGGCCCCGGCAGGGGGCTTGGAAGCCGGGCAGGGGTGGCGGGGGACCCGGCGGCGCTCACCTCTAAAGCCCAGGGCCCCGAGGGCTCCTCCGAAGGTCTTGGGGGGCTTCCCTGCGGGGACAAGACGGAGAGGGTGAGCGGGGTGGGGGGCTCCACGGGTGCCCCCTGGGGAGGTGACCCCCCGCCCACTGTCCCCAACCCGCCTGGCTGGGGCGCACTCACCGCCAAATCCCAGCTGGCCGCCGACCCCACCTGAAAGCACAGCAAAGCCTCAGTGATGCTCGGCCCCGTGCCCCCCAGCCCAGCCCAGCCCCACTCCCCGTGGCCGTGTCCTTGTGCCCTGCGGCTGCGTGTGTCCCCCCGGGCAGGGCACGCAGGGGAAGGTACCTGGAAATATCGGTGACACGCCAAAGCCGGGAACTCCAGGCCCTGGGGAAAAAGTGACAGCCGGTGACAGCGCTGCCACCCCAGCCCTGCGTGGCCGCAGTGTCCCCAAGCCTGCAGCAAGCTGGGCGTGAGCTGCCCCAAGAGCCCCCGAGCCCAGCAGCACCCCTGGGTGCCCACCCCGCTACAGAGCACCCCGCGAGCCTGTGGCGTGCCCGGCGGGGTGGGGACAACAAGCGGGGCAGTGCGGTCGGTGACAGGGTCCCACCCTGGCCCCCGGCCCCGGCACTCACCTGGCAGCCCCCCAACACCAAAACCTGCGGGAAGGGAGAGCCCTGGTGAGGGTGGCAGCTGTGGGGACAGGGACGTCACCCCGCTGGCCAGGGCTGTCCCCGCTCCTTACCTGGCTTGGGAGGTTTTCCAGCAGCTCCTGGAAACAAGAGCCCTGCAGCAGCAAAGGTGGGTGTCAGTGCAGCCCCCCAGCAGCCCAGAGGGTCCCCGGGTGTCTCCACGTATTGGGGACACTGCTGTCCCATCTCCTGTCCCCACAGCCTGGGACACGCTGGGGCTGGGGCCCTTGGTACCTGCTCGGTGGGGGCCGTCCCCTCCCATTGTACCCCTGGCAGGCAGCAGGCACAGACGGGGCACGGTGACAGCGGGGTGGGGACACGCCGTGGGACCGCAGAGGTGCCCCGGCTCCCTCGGGGTGGGACAGCACCCAGCTGGGCACTGCTCCCCCAAATCCCAGCCCAAGGGGTCACAGCCAGGAGGGGACAGAGGTGGCTCTGAATCTCCTGCATCCCCCCGATGCCCCTTCCTTCTCAGCACCCTGCACAGACCCCTCTGTGGGACCCTCAGTGCCGAGCCCACCAGCACCACTCACCAGCACCAAGGCCACCAGCACCAAGGCCACCAGCTCCGAGGCCACCAACTCCGAGGCCACCTGTGGTGAGGAGCCTGGGTGAGCACTCCCAGGGGACCGTGGGGACGCAGCGCGGGGCTGTGGGGTCTGTGCCCAGGGATTTGGCCTGGGGTGGGAGGTGGGGACCAGGGACACCGGGCACGGCAGCACTGGCCTTGCCATCGTTCCTGGCTCACATGGTGGGGGGATTTGCAGGGAGCAGCGCAGCTCCAGCACCAGCCCAGGGTCCAACCTGCTGCTCACCCAGCCCCACACAAGCCCAGACCTTCCTGATGCAGCCCCATGCCCTGGGGGAGCACCCCCTGCCCGCACAGCACCTACCTGGGATGCCACCAACCCCTGGGACTCCAGCTCCGGGAACTCCTGTCAGAGAGAGGCAGTGAGACCACGTCCCCACAGCCTGCACAGGGAGCTCGGGGGAGGCAGTGAACACCCAGGGGTGGCCCTGGCACCCGTCCCACCTCCCCCAGCACAGAAAGACCTGGAGGCCTTCTGCTTGGTGCCTTGCTGCAGGCAGTGCAGAGCAGGAGGAAAATGTCCCCAGGGTGACTGGGGTGGGAAGAAGCCACCATACCGGGTGGCACTCTGCACCCAGGGGTGACAGCGTGCCATCCCCCCCCATGCCCAGGGCTCCGCAGGGCATGTGGGGACATGAAGAGGGGCCAGCACCCCGATATCAACACGGGGTGCCCAAGGGGGAGCAGGCTGGGGACGGGTGGCAGCGATACGTACCGAACTTGGGAGGCTTAGCACCTGGCTGCACCCCTACTTGGGGGATGCCTGCAAAGCAAACAAGGGCACCGCGTTTAGGACAGGCACCCCCGTGCCCCCCATCCCACCCACCCCCCACATCTGGGTGCAGTGCTGCCCTCACCTGCCCCGGGGAGAACGCCGGCACCGGGTACCCCCACGCTCGGCACCAACCCAGGGACGCCGCCAACGCCGGGTGTCACTCCTGGCACACCGGGACCACCGGGCACCGCGCCTGGCACCCCTCCGACACCGGCACCTGCAGGAGAGGGGGTGAGGACACAGCCCAGGGCTGCATGGGGCTGGGCAATGCCATGCCGGCATACGCTAACCCTGTGTGGAGATGGACTCACCGTACTTGGCTGCCTTGGCTGCTGCTTTTGCTGCTGCTGCCGGACCTCCGACTCCTGGGACAGTGAGACAAGGGTCAGCATCCCTGGGGGGAGCCTCCCCAGCAGTGCTGGGCAAAGCCCATCTCTGCCACCTTGGCATCCACCAACAGATGGCCCCGAGCTGACAGAGACCACCGAGGGAGTCCGAGGTGTCCATCCTGCCCCAGCCCTGTCCCAGTGCCAGCCCAGCTGCCACCACCGCCTGCCTCACCTGGGACACCTCCAATGCCGGGGGCCAGGCCACCCACACCAGGAACCAAGCCACCCACACCAGGAGCCAGGCCACCTATGCCAGGAGCCAGGCCACCCACGCCAGGAGCCAGGCCACCTGCCCCTGCAAGAAGAAGGAGAAGGACTGGGGCTCCAGCTCAGGAAGAGGGACCGGGGCTGCGAGAGGGCTGGGATGGCCGGAGGTGCAGGTGGGAGGACGGTGGGAGAGGTGGTGGGAAGGATGGTGGATGGACGGAGGAGGGGGGTAGTGGATGGGTGGGTGGGTGGTGAGGTGAATGGAGGGAATGAGATGTGCATGGGTGGGTGGATGGAGGTGAGGTGTGGATGGATGGATGGATGGATGGATGGATGGATGGATGGATGGATGGATGGATGGATGGATGGATGGATGGATGGATGGATGAGGAGATGAGGGGACGGGGGTGCGGATGTGTGAGTAGAATGTAGGATGGATGGATGAATGTATGAGAAGGCACATGGATGATGGACCTAGGAGCCTCCATGCACACCAGCTCTCTGGAGAGCACCCCCTGACGCAGCCAGGACCTCATCCCACGCGCAGAGTTCTCACCCCTCACCCCGACCCATGGGGACCCCATGCAGTGCCTCAGCCCCAGCTGGGGAAGCAGCCTGGAGCGGGGAGGTGGCAGCAGGCAGGACGTGCGGGGTAACCCCGGGGTGAGCCCGTCTTACCATACTTGGCTGCTTTGGCAGCCGCTTTGGCAGCAGCGGCGGCAGCAGGGCCGGCTCCTGGGGGAGAGGGGAAGAGTGAGGGGCAGTGACGGCCTGCAGTGGCCACGCCAGTGCTACTGGCCAGCACCACTGCGGGCATCCCTGAGCATCCCTTAGAGAGCATCTCACCGGGTACCAGACCAGGCACACCGACTCCGGGAACACCGACTCCAGGAACACCAATGCCGGGAACACCAACTCCAGGAACGCCAACACCAGGAACGCCGACTCCAGGAACGCCGACTCCAGGTACTCCAACTCCGGGAACACCGGCTCCAGGCACGCCAGCTCCTGTTACACCAACTCTCATTACACCAACCCTCAGCACACCAGCCCCGGGCAGGTGCCCTGCTCCTGCAGAGAGGACCAGGGATGCATCCGAGCCCCACGCCCCAGCCATTTGTAACACCTCTCCCTCCTTCCATCCCAGCACAAAGGACGAAGGTCTCTCACCAAATGCGGCCGCTTTCGCTGCAGCCTTCGCTGCGGCAGCAGCTGCTGGGCCACCCACTGCGGGGACAGAAGGAAGGGTGTCAGGGGGAGCAGAGAGGCCAGCACCACGCTGTCCCCTACTGTCCCCAGCCCCTTTGCTCACCTCCGACACCAGGCACCACGCCAGGGACACCAGCCACGCCAGGGACACCAGGCACGCCAGGGACACCAGCAACGCCGGGCACACCGGGCACGCCGCCGATGCCAGGAACACCAACACCAGGAACGCCAACGCCGGCTCCTGCAGGCAGTGAGAAGAGAGAATTTGGAGTGGCTGAGCCGTGGGACAAGGAGGGAGGTCTGCCCTTGCCATCATGCCATGGGGAAGCACCCCGTGCCTCATCCCTGCAGGCGGCTGGGACACGCGCCTGGTTCTGGGTCACACAAGAGGCTGGGAAGTCACCAGCACAGGGAACGATGCCATGGGGGGCTCCAGATGATCCTCGGCATGAGGAGATGGAGCCTTTCAGCCCAAAAGGGCACAGAGAAGTGGCTGGTGGCCCCCAGTAGCCACCTGGAAGTGCTGGGATTTAGGGAGAAGTTCAGCAATGAAAAGCTCACTGGTGTGTGAGAGCAGGGGCCAAGAAGATTGCCAATTTTCTCCCTAAATCCCATCCACTTATTGCTTTTTTTTTTTTTTTTCTTCCTGCATGATGCAGAAAACAAATGAAAGAAATGGCCAGCAATGGTCTAGCCCTCCCCTGTGTCTGCTCTCCGAGCCCAGCCTCTCAGCTTCACTGCTGCGCAAGGTGCTGGGGTGCCAGCCCCTGCTGGGACCCGCAGTCCTGCTAGACCAAATCAGGTGTGCTTGCTGGGTCCCACTGTTTTTTTGGAACAAAACCAAAAATTTCAGACAAGAACCAAACAAAGTCAGTTTGTTCTCATCCATTCACCCCCATGAAACACCAGTAGCATCACGGCCTGCAGAAACCTGGGGAGGGACAGAGGCAGGGGACAAAGGCGAGCCCAGGCAGAGCAGCTGGGAGCCAGGCTGGGCACATCCAGCGCCTGGATGCTTCCCCATAAAGATCCACCAGGAGTGATCTCCAGGGTAAAGCCACCTGCCTGGTGGCACCCCAAGTCCCACAGAGGCATCCCCAGGATAATGGAGTGGATGGGGGTCTCCTTGCCCCCTACAGTACTTACCATACTTAGCTGCCTTTGCTGCTGCTGCTGCTGCTGCTGGCGTTCCAGCTCCTGAGGACAGGAGAGAGAGGGACCCTGAGCCACCTGCCCCCGTGCCACCTGCCGTGGGGTCAACACTCACAGGAACAGTCACCTGCCACCCCGGGGATACCTCCGACACCGGGCACCAAGCCGGGGACACCACCGACACCAGGCACACCACCGACACCGGGCACGAGGCCTGGCACACCGCCGACACCAGGCAGCACCCCTGCACCTGGAGGGAAGCAGAGCAGTCAGAGCACCCCAAAATGCCCCATGGTGCCGGCCCCAGAGCATGTGGCTATGGACCCCTCAAGCAAAGCCAGAAGCTGGAGCATCAGCGGGCTCAGCACCTCCCAGAATGTCTGCTAAGGGACCAGTGCCCACATGCGCATCCTCCAGGGCTGGGACGCCCAAGCTGGGGCTCCCACTTGCCCAGCAGGCACGGGCATGGGGTGGGCTTCCAGGAACAGCAAATCCCCCTGGCAGCAGATGTTCTCTGGCTGCTGTGCTGCTCTCCACCGAGCCCGGGGATGCTTCCACTCCTGGGTGTGCGATGGCCCCGCCGCTCGCACGCACCCGGGCAGGGGATTCCCAGCTCCCAGCCTGGGAGCCCACGTGGCCGCTCGGGAGCTGGTGGCAGCTGGCGGGACCCCGAGGTCCCCCAAGGACGGGCTCGTAAATCCCAGCTGCTCCCGGGGCTGACGCATTTCCTCTGGATGCTCCAATGAGCGCGTGCTTGCTCCTGCGAAACGGGCTCCCTCTGCCAACAAGGGGAGCAGCGAGCATGCGATCTGCAGAGCCCAGCTTGTCCCTCTGCTCATGAGCCCTGCCTCGCTGCAGACGCCCTCCCAGCGGGACTGCAGGAACTGTCACAGCCTGGACCTGCCACGTCCCCACGTCCCCCAGCGCAGGCAGCGGAGGCTTTGCAATGCCAAGCTGCTGCAAGAAGGGGGAAAGCCCCCCTGCAGCCTTAGGGGGGGTGTTGCAGCCCACAACGGCTCAGCAGAAGGGATCAACTCGCCCCAAGCATGGGCACGCAGATGCCGGAGCCATGCGGGAGCCTGGGCTGGGCGAGCATCGCAGAGGGCAGCACCCTGTGAAGCCACGCCAGCACTGCTCAGCCCTGCTGAGAGCAGGGACTCACCGTAGGCTCCTGCCTTTGCTGCTGCCTTCGCTGCTGCCGCTGCAGCCGCCGGCCCTCCGACTGCCGGGGTAGCAGAACAGAGTCAGGGGTGTGGGACGGGGCAGGGGGGACATCGGCATCCGCACCCCGGGGCTGAGCCCAGCCTCACCTCCAGCTCCTGGGACAACGCCAACGCCAGGCACCAGGCCACCAACCCCTGGGATGCCGCCGACCCCTGGGATGCCACCAGCCCCGGGCAGGACACCGGCTCCTGGGGGGGGAAAAGAGGATGTCAGCGTGGGAAGGGGACACCACCGGCCTCCCCCAGCCTGGGAGGGGGACAGCAGCCACCCGGGCGGGGACACAGGCGCTGTTTGTGCCCACGGAGCACAGCAGGGTGCTAGGTGTACCGGGTACTCACCGTACTTAGCTGCTGCTTTCGCTGCTGCTGCCTGTGCTCCAACTCCTGGGGAAGGACATGAGGAGATGCTGAGGGCCTGTGGCCACCCCAGCACAGCCTCCCCCGTCCTGGGGACTGGTGCCTCCCACCAGCAGCTGCCCCCTCTCCTTAGCAAGGTGACACAGCCCACCCCAGGCTGTTCCTAGCCCCTCTCTGGCCACCCTGGGGCCACCAGACAACGCTGCGTATCCCATCCAGTGACCGCTGAAGCTAAGGGGGTGCTTGCTCCCCCTGCCATACTCTGCAGGTCCCTGCCACCCCACAGGACTGCTGGGGAAGGGACCGTACCTGTCCCAGTGGGGTACCCAGCCTTTCCAGCACCAAGTCCTGCTCCTATCCCACCAGGTCCGAGACCTGCAAACACAAAGAGAAAACACAGCAAGGTCAGGATCTGGCCCTCAAGAGGGAGGGCGAGGCAGACAGCAGCTCCAGCCCCACATCTAGGGACATGCTGGGGACACCCGAGCCAGCCCCAGGCTGGAGATGCCACCTCAAGCCTCCCTGAGCAGAGCTGGCTGCAGCACACGATATATCCTAGCCAGCATGAGCCGAGAGCTGCTGGCTGCTGGCCCCATGGCACGGGATGCACAGCGTGGGCGTGCCCGTGGGCACCACCCCATCCCCGTCCTTCTGCCCTGCCCGCGTCCCCACCCAACGTGGGTCGCTTTGCCCCGGGTCAGGGTGCCCCTCACACAGCCCAGACTCTGTGAGCAGCTACGACCGTGGAGCAAGGGCTATGAGCACTCACCATAGGGCAGCTTACCAGTGCTGTAGGGCAATCCATAGCCACCTGGAGAGGAGAGAAGGCGGCTGGTTAGCACCTGGCTGCTGGTGGCTGTGCCCCCTCTGCCCCGCAGTGTAGCCCCTCTTTGCCAGCTGGCTGTGCAACGCGAGCCCTCAGCACCGGGGCTCCTTCCAAGTCAGGAAAATCTTTTTTTGGGGTGCGCCCCCACCTCGTGACGGGACCTCCCGGAGGTGCCCCTCTCCGCAGCAGCTCCAGAAGTGAGCCCCATGCTGAGGGCTGCAGCACGCAGAGCTGGTTTCCAACATGAGCGTGTGTTTGCCAGAGCCTCCCGTGACCCTGTTTCGGCAGGGGGCCCCCCAGGAGCCCCGCGGCGAGAGCCGTACCCAGCTGGCTGCGCCAAGGCCGGCTCCAAACGCGAGACTTTAATTGGAATCAGGCTTGGGAGCCTCCACTGAAACGTGACCTCATTAGGAGGTCGGCAAGAAGGGACGGCGGGGGATTACGAGAAGGAACATCGCGGCCGGGGAGGTGGCTCCTTGTGAAAGAGCGGCGTCCCATGCGTGGGACAGCGCAGGGATCCCAGCCTCTCTGCATGGTGGTGGCCACAGCCTGAGGAGCAGGGACAAGCTGCTGTGTCCCTTCTGGTGGCAGCTGGGGCCGCACACGGCAGGGGTGCCCCGCAGACACCCAGCTCCCCAGCCACGGGCAGGGCCGGCGCCTGTGGCCAGGATGCTCGTGAGAAGGCGTCCCTCCAGGCATCCCCTCCCACAGCCACATGTGCGCACCACATTTCCCCCCACCCCCCCCGGCAGCCCTTTCCACCGGGTGCCACACAAGGCTGGACAGGCTCCGCATCCGGCAGCTGTGTCCAGGGTCCCCAGGGGCACCCAGTGCCACCAGCGCCTCGTTTGCCCCAGAGCCGCCTGGCACTGACTGGGTGACACCCGTGGAGGTGGCACCAAAGGTCCCAGCCCTTGGAGCTCCAGGGGTTTTGCTGGTCCAACCCCAGCTCCACAGAGCCACTGCCACCCACCTGGATGGTGCTCACCCCCTTGGCACCAGCACGAGGACAGCCACCAGCATCACCAATGCCAATGGACGCAGCGGCTGGCATGGGAACCGATTTTCCCAGCCCTGAGACCACCTTGGTGTGGCTGGGCACTGGGACACCATTCCCTTCTCAACGACACCAGCTGGGACCCTGATTTCAGCCACAGCATCAGCCTGCACCCCCAGAAAGTGGGGTGGCCCTGGGGACCCCTCCTGAGTCAGAGCAGCCCAGAGCGGGAGCTGCCCAGGGCATTTTCAGCAATCCCTCCAGAAAGGAGACTTTCCTCTGAACTTGTCATTTTCAGTGCTCGCCCCTCATCCCCTCTTGCCCTGTGCTCGCCAGCTCCGGCAGACAGTGCAGGGGACACGGGGGACACAGGGACGTGTCACACATCTTTCAGCAGCTCCCAAGCCCACCTGCAGCATCGCCCTGCTCAAACCAAGAGCTGTGACAGCCGGCCCAGTGTGTCCCCAAGCTGCTGGGGAGTAACAAGGTGGGATCCTGGGGGGGACAGGGATGCACCCAGCACCTGAAACCGGGCTGGGGGACAGCACCGCTATCCTACTGCACCCTGCAAGGGGTGGCACCACCACCGCCACTGCCGGCCTTGCAGCTGCAGGGACAGGGGTCCCCAGGGAGGGAGAGGGGTGACGCAGCCACTCGCTGCTGGTGGGGCTCCCTCCTCCGATTTAGGCACGGCAGCTCCCCAGAAAGTGGGTCAGCCCCGTCTGGGCTGCAGGCCACTGGCAGGGCCGCCGGGATGTGGCCAGGTGCCCGCACCAGGCACCCCATGAAAGGCAGTCTGGGGCCGGGCGGCCAGACGGCATCCGATCTCCGCGGGGCTGGGTCGCCCTAACGAGCGTAACGAGCCTCTGCGGGAGGAAGCGGGCGCTGGCCAAGTATTTCTGCTGCCGCTCGCGGCCGTGGGCCCTGGCGGGGGAAGCCGGCAGAGCTGCTGGGTCTGGCGCCCGTGGTGGGGAGGGATGCGTGCCCCAGGGTGGGCTCCACCCCAGGATAAAGCCCGTGGACCTACTCTCACTCTGGCACCCCAGGGATGTGGATCCCTGGCCAGATCTGGCTCCCCTCTTCCTGCCCTGGATGTCACTGGGGTGGGCCCTCCAGCTGCTGGCATCCCCGGACAGGCTGTGTCACCTCGTCCCTGCTGCCTGGCACTGCCATCCTGCTGCTGTCCCTGCCGGGCACGGCTGGCTGGGGACAGGCAGGTCTGGCACCCAGCGTGGGGACAGGTGACAGATGCCACTGGAGCAGCACAGGCTGGGAAAGGGGTGCTGAGCGCCCCTGGGCTGGGGCTGAGCATCGTCTCTGCGGGCAGTGAGGAGGGAGACCTGCCTTGTGCTCCGTCCCCACTGCCAGCCTGCTGGTGGTGGCCTTGGTTAGCGGTCCCCAAGGGGGGACGTTCAGCCTGGGTGAGCGTCTGGTGATGCCCAGCACATCCCCTGGCCCCCAGGAGCCACAGAAAGCAGAGGATTCCTGGAAAGATGTGCCTGGTGCCAGGAGGGGGCTGTGGAGCCAGCCTGGGATGGCCTTGCCCAGCGCACATCCCCAGAGCACGCCTGCTTGTCCCTGGCACGCCTGGCAGCCAGAGGAAGGCACAGCATCACCCTGGGGCCGGGAGCAGGAGCAGCGGCAGCCCTGGGCAGGATCTGCCCTGGGGGCTGTGGGCAGCAGCTGGAATCGCCCGCCCAGCAGTGCCCGGCTCCGTCCTGCTGTCCCCTACCAGCGCCAGCACTGCCGGGTCCGGGGGACCCAGGGCCACCGGGGCTCAGCCCGGGGCAGTGAGGACGTGGGGTCCCCCTGGCACTGCTCGGGGCCCTCACCCGCACCCCTGCTGGCTGTGGCCGCTTACCTGGGAGCTTGGGAGCTTTGATGGGATACCCCAGAGGGACTCCGGGCTGCTGGCCTCCAAAGCCTCCCAGTCCTGCAAAGCCAACAGCAGACGCTCACCTGGAGCCCTTGCCCAGGCTGCCACCAGACCTTGCGAGAGGGGGGTGCCCGCGGCACCCCGGGTCCCCGGCCACGGCTTGGGAAGCCCCTGAGGCACCTTTTGGTGTGAGGAGGCCACAGCAGTGATGGAGAAGCTTGGAAAGGAAGAGAAGGACAGGCGGGAAAGAGGGAACACTCACCAGGGATTCCTGCGAAGGCTCCTGCTCCTGGGGAGAAACACAAATGTCCCCGTGAGTCATGGGGCTGGTCCCCAGGGCTCCACAACAGCCCGTGACATCCTGCCTGGGCAGCGGGGGGTGGCCCGCGGACAGCCCTGGACCCTGCCGTGCGCGGAGGAGCAGGGACGTACCTGGACCTTTCGCCTTGACACCGGTGCCGGTGGGAACGCCAGGCAGCACCCCTACGCCAGGGAAACGGACACCTGGGATGGAGCAGAGGGGACGGGTGAGCGTGGTGGGGCCTCTCGGTGTTACTGGTACCCCAGACCCACGATCTCTGGCTGGGTGCAAGGGAAAAACCCTCCAGACCTTGCTCCTGGCACGACCCAACCGCCCCCACCACCCAAATCCTTGCCAGCCTGCCCAGCTCAGCACCCTGCACCCAGCACCGGCACAGCCAGAGGGGACGCGCTCCCCGCAGCCAGACCCAGCCGTGGGGCACCCGAGCCCCCCCCAGGCTGGAGGTGGGATCCTGCCCCCCCAGCCCTCACCCTCCAGAGGCAACCAGGGAAAAAAATGGAAAAACTGAGCTGCTTCGGTTTTGCTTGTTTGTATTTTTCTCTCCAGCCCCCCTCCTTTTACAAATGTCTTTCATTATAACTCACGCATTTGCAGACATGGAAAGACATTCCTGACCAGCAACAACACACTTCCCATTCTGACAATGTCGAAACATCTTGTTTTCACAAGTTTTCCTCCCCAGATTGCTTTGCAGTGAGGAATTCCTGCCCCCGCCACCCGTCTCCTCCCCCCACAGCCCTTGGCCAGGCGAGCTGCCCCCGCGTGGCCCACGCCAGCTCCACTCTGTGTCCCGTGCTGGTGCCCCTTGCTGGTGCCCTCTGGCACCATAAAGATGCCACTTTAGGAAAAGTGACAGCCGGGCAGGCTGATAGTGGTGTCCCAGTGGGACTGAGCACACCGGGACGGGGACATGGGGCCAGGGCACAGCTGGCCATGAGACCACCGATGCCAGCTAGGAGGGTCGGGCACTGGGGTGTTGCCTTGGGATGGGGACCCCCTTGGAGATTGGGGTGCTGCTGGTAGGTGGGGATCCCCTCAGAGGCTGGGGTGTTCCGATGGGATGGGGACACCCTCAAAGGTTTGGGCAATGTTATTTGATGCAGACCCCCTTGGAAGCTGGGGTGCTGCTGTGGGATAGGAAAACCCCAAGAGGTTGGGGTGCCGCGTTTGGGTGGGCTTTGCCTTGCAGGCTGGGGTGCCACCGTGGGATGGGAACCCCCTCAAGGGATGGGTGCTGCTGTTGCATGGGGCTTCCCTTGAAAGCTGGAGTGTTGCCACAGGATGGGGACCCCATCGGATGTTGGGATGATGCAAAGGGATGGGGTCACCCTTGCAGGCTGGGTTACTGCCATTGATGGGGACCCACTCAGATGATGTTCCCATGGGTGTTCCCATGGGAAAAGGACCCCCTCGGAGGTCAGGGTGCTGCTGCAGGGTGGGGACCCCAGCTCACCTGCACCAGGGAGAACGCCACCGCCTGGGAAGGCTCCAGGGATGCCAGCACCTGCAGGATGAGAAAGGCAGCGGTGAGCCCCCCGCCAGAGCCGTTCCCCAACCACCACCAGCCCCTCCTGGGCCGTGCACCCACCTGGTACTTTGGGGGGCTTCCCTGCCGCGCCGACCCCAGGTTGTACCCCTCCTGGGGGCACTACAGCACCTGCCGGTGGCAGAGAGCCCTGAGAACCCACTCAGCACTGCCACGGGCTAGGGGAGCAGGGACGGGGCGTTTCCTACCTGCGGAGACCCCGAGGCCTCCAGGAACACCAACTCCACCCACGCCACCAAGACCAGCACCTGGGGACATTGGGAAAAAGGACAAAAACAGGGTGAGATGCCACCTTTGAGCTGCGGGTGATTGGAGAGGTGCCAAAGGAAGAGATGGCCCCAGGGGACACCCCAAGGAGCACTGGAGATGTGTCCCCCAGGTTTGGACAAGGGACCCAGTCCCAGGACAGGGGGCTTCATGCTCCTGGTGGCTCCAGCTTGACCAAAGCCCCTTTCTCAGCACAAGAACAGGCGCCAGGTGGGGCTGGCAGAGAGAGCAACATCTCCTGCTTGCAGCCCCCCCATCCTCAGGAAAGGCTGGGCATAGAGGGGGCCCCCAGAGCCCTGAGGATGCCCAAGCCCAGTGTTGCCCCCCAGCATCAGAGCAGGCACCCTGAGCACTCACCAGCTTTCGCAGCAGCCTTAAGAGCAGCCGCGGATGCAGCACCTGGGAAGACGCCCCCGGGGAAGCCACCTCCTGGGAGCAGACCTGCAGCACCTGCGAGGGGAAAAGGGGCAAGGTGAGCCCGGGGAGCAGGAAGGTGCCTGCACCCCCAGGCTGCGGTGGCGGTGAGGGGTGGCGAGCTGGCATGAGGCAGTGCAAGGCAGGGTTAGGTGACATCTGCGTGGGGACAGCTCTGCGGTGCCAGCCTGGCTTGTGCCCTGCACTTCTTCTCCCTACATTCCCTCCAAAACCTGCTCCCCTCTGCACCCCTGCAACCCAGGCACCCCGTGGTGTCTTGGACTGCTGTGTGTGCCATGCAGGGGCACTGCCACCTTGCTGCCAACCCCGTGGGGACACAGCGCCCTCTCCCCTGATGCTTCATGGGGTTGCCCAGCCTGGCCACATGGGTGGAAGTGGTGGAGGAGCCGCCTCATTGCCCTACAGCTGGTGGGGATGGGCCACCCGCAGTCCATCGGGAGGTTCTCTGGGGACACTGCACTGGGGACAGTTCTTGTCCATGCTCACCTGGCTGGAGGCCAAGAGGGCCAAGTCCCCCGAGGCCACCGACCCCTGGAAAGAGAAGCGGGCTGAGGGAGGCTGGGGGGTGCAGAAGCACCCGCACGGGGACAGGGAAGGGGCTGGGGTGCTGCCGTCCTTGCCCATCCCAGTCCCACGCAGCTCCAGCATCCAGCTGTGAGCTTCCCCTGCCAGCCACCCCAATGCTTGCTCCCTGTGCAAAGCAGGGAGGGCAGGACCCGGCCATCGTGCCGCATGGGGATGTGCACAGGATGGTTGCCCAGCAGGAAAAGCTGAGTGGGGGGCCCCCATTTGCACCATCCTGGCAGGACAGATTGCTCCTGGTCTCGCCTCACTCGCTGGTGCTCCCAGCCCACCACAGACCAGGGAAGGGCATGGGGGACGGGGACAGGACCCGGCCACGGTGGCATGGGGCACGTGTCCCCATCCGATCACTGCCGCTGTCCCTTCCCACTCCGCTCCGCCTCGCCCGCCCCCCACCCCGCCAGGCCATGAGGGGACGGAGCCGAAATGTTTCAGGCTGAGGAATGAGTCCCTCCGGCTGGGCCAGCGCTGCCTTCCAACATCTGGGGCTAATCAGTGCTCGCTCCCTCCAGGCGCAAATTCCACTGCCTTTGGCTCACGGCGCGGACACCGCTCCGGCTGGGGCTTCGCGGCTGCACCGCGTTTGGTTTTAATTACGCCGAAATAAAGGGCCTTGTTTTTCTTTCCACGAGCTGAAATCTGAGTAAACGGAGGTTGCAGGCCCCCGCCTGGGGCTGGCGCTCCTGCGGCGCGGAGCTGGGCCGAGGAGGCCGGCGCACCCTGCCCCAGGCACAGCGGTCCCCATCTGAGAGCATCTCCCCCTGGGCCACGGGGCTCTGGACATCTCCACCAGCACCAAACCAAGCAGCCTGTGCTGCCCTAGCACCTCCCAGCTGTGCCTGGCAGTCCGTGACCTGCCCCAGGATTGGAGTCCTCCAAAAGGCCCAGTGCTGTGCGTTCTTCTGCCTGCATCCCCTCCCTGTCCTAGTGGTGGCCCTGCCTGTCCCCTCCTCTCTGGGCCAGACAAACCCCAGCAAAAGCTGCCCAGCCACGAGTGCAGGCAGGCAGGGGACACCTGAAGACCAGGGCTTGGGGACGGTTGTGGAGGAGGTGGCAGCACGCTGAAGCTGGGGACAAGGATGAAGGCGCACGGAGCCCTTGGGGCTGTTGAGAGCTTGGTGAGCACAGCAGGGCAGTGCGGAAAGCGCGGGCAGCTGCTGGGGAACATCCTGTCCCCACGGCCTCTTCCTACACCCTGGCTGCTGGCACAGTCGGCGAGAGATGAAGGAAAGGTTTCTTACCTGGTTTGAGAGGTTTTCCTCCAGCCCCGAGCCCTGGGGGAGAGTGAGGGAGGGTGGTCAGATGTGCCCCTCCCTGCGGTGTGTCCCCTCTGCAGGCATCCCGGGATGGGGACACCGGGTGGGACGGGCTGAGCCTCTGCCCTGCCACCCCCTCCCCGCCCCAGAGAAGGGTCCCCGGCACTTACCTGCTCCCAAACCTCCAACCCCAGCACCTGCAAGCAATGACACAGGCTTAGCACCCACCCCTGCAAGCTCCCACCCAGCCCTGCCCACGCTGGGGGTCTGGGGACACAAGCAGATGGGGGGTCCTCTGTGGTGTCCCCAGGACTTGAGCCAGAGCACTGGGGACAGGCTGTCACCCTGGGCCTTTGCCTCTTGTGGCCAGGGCTGTGGAGATGCCAGCCCTGGGCTGATACAGCCCTGTCCCTATGCTGTGGTGCTTCAGCTGCCCAGGGCAGGGTGTCCCAGCACCCTGGTCCTGCTCTGCTGGGCTCAGAGGTGCCCTGGGTGCCCACCCAAGGGCCTGCCCATCGCTGTGATGCCCCCACACTGCCCAGGTCCCCTTACCTGGGAAAAAGCCTCCTCCTGGGACTCCCCCTCCCGGGATAGCACCAGGAACCCCTGCAAGAGAAGAGACCCTTGCTAAAACCCCTGCAGGGATTTGTGTGTCCAGCTGGGCTGGGGGGGCACCCCCTGGGATAGGTGCAGCTCTGTCCAGATGAGGCAGGATGCACAGCCCCAGGGCAAGAGCCGAGGGCAGCTCCCTGCCTTTCCTTGCACACCTCAATTTCTCCAGCAATACGGTGGTGATGGGGTCTGGGGCTGCCCCAGGGTCTGACGGGGTGGCAGCAGGATTTGGCCCTACACCATGGGGGGAGAGTGGGGGGGATCCAGCTCTGCTGCCCAGACCCCATCCCATCACCCAGCCAGTGCCATCTCCAGAACCACCTCCTGGCAGCTCTGTGTCCCTCTGTCCGCCCTTGTGCAGTGAGAAGCTCCCAGGCCCCTCTGCTTTCCAGGGCAGGCAGCGGTGGTGCTCAAACACCACAGTGATGCTTTTTGGGGTGCTCGGCTTAGCCCCTGCTCTGTCTCCTGCAGGACACCGTGCGGCAGATCAATGGTCCCTGCTCCATCGTGTCAATGGAAGGGGTGGAGACAGGGTTTGGGGAACAAGGACGCAGTGCAGGGGATACTCTGCTTCTGGCAGGGCTTTCTGGCACTGGGGGGCTTGCAAAGGGATTTGTGGTGGGGCTGTCAGGGCTGCGGGGGACTCTTAATGGAGCTGGCAGGAGGATTTGGGGGTTTCTGAAGGTTACAGTGGCCGGAGGGCACCTGGCACCCCCAGGCAGGCAGTGGCACAGCCCTGGGACAGGTGGCAGCTGGGTGGCAGAGCTGGCACCCAGCAGGGGGGACACCCAGTGCTGCACATGGAGCACCCTGCATGGCAGGGACAAGGGCGTCCCCTGCACCCTGCTCATGGGTGCCCTCCACCACACGGAGCACCAGAGACCGAGCCCCCTCCCTGCCTCACGGGGACAGGTGCTCATCTGGGGGGGCACACAGGCACAGGTGAAGCATCGGCACACGCACACACCCATCAGGACACACGCACAAGCGAAGGACGAATGTCAGGACACACACGAGGAGGACATGTGCCACTGTCCCCACGCACATCAGGGGACACGTCGGGCTCAGAGCCCCCCCCGGCAGCACCCCCATGGGCACACACACACACGTGGCGTGTTGCCCAGCTGATGTGCCCCAGCGGTGCCAAGCAGCGGGATTTGGCCTCGCACATCCCCAAACCATGGGCTCGGGGCACGAGCCCGTTCCCGTCGCAGCTGGCCTCCCCGGAGCGCAGCGGCCGCGCTCGGTCATCGCTCTCCCCGCTGACCGGCCGGCTTGCCCCGCCGCCCCAGCCCAGCCCAGCCGGGTGGCAGCCGGCCAGGGCTTACGGAGCAGCTCCCTTTCCCGGCACATTCCCCCGCCTGCCCCCCCCCCCCCCCCCCCCCCCACCAGCTTGGAAAAACAAAGCCCAGCTCCTTTGCCTGTTCCCAAACATCATCCGCACATCGCCCAGCCTCCCTGGCCCGCCTCGCCGGGAGGGGATGGCCACAGCCAGCTGCGTGGACACTCCGCACAGCGTCCCCAGGAGCAGTCCCCGTGGCCAGGCTGCACCCTGCTGCTGGCAGGGGGGATGCTGGGTGCCCTGGGGAGCCCCCGGACCCCTGCCCCATTGCTGCCTGGCGGAGCCCCCCGGAGAAGCCGGGAGGAGGCTGTGCAGCTCACAGTCCTCACAGGGTGTGCGGGGACATAAAGGCCCACGGGACACCTGCCCTGGGACTCCCCAGGGGGCTTGCAGAGGCCGTGCTCAGCCCTGCATGCCTCTCCCATCTCAGCTCCACACAGTCCCAGTGCCTCATGGCCATGCGTGTTCTGGAGGGTTAAAGAGGAGGTGCTGGTGTCCGGGGGTTCACCAGCCCCCTCCAGGTCAGGTCAGGAGGTGGATGGGGACCACCTGCCTTGACACGAGCCAGGATGGCTGTGTGGATCTGGGGGAGATGAGGCTGTTGCTCAGGAGCTCTGCAGGATGCTGCTCCCAGCCAGTTCTGACACCAAACTTGGTCAGCTCCATGCTCTGGCTGGACCCACACACCCGGAGATGCTGCACCAGGGCTACGGGGATGGCTCCAGGGCTGTGTCACCACAGCTGCACTTGTCCCATACCCTGCAGGGAAGAGGGAAGTGCTGCCCATCACCTGGCTCGGGGTCAGATCCTGGCATGGGGGCCCTCTGCCCTCTCCTTGGCACATCAGGGATGGGGAAACTGAGTCACAGCCCTGCTGGGGCCGAAGGTCCCTGCTCTGTGTTTGCTCCTGCTCAGAGGCTGCTGGCAGGCTGGGAAGGGAGGGTTTCTCCCTCATCCCCTTTTTTCCCCACAGGGCTAGGGCTTGGCTGGACCCTGCACCCCAGGGCTCTATTTCCAAAGCTTTCCAAGAATTTGCATCTGAATGTACAGCCCTGGCTGCAGCAGGTGATAACCCATGGAGGTGCTTCAGAACCTGGAGTGGGGCGTTGTTTATAGAAAATAGGCTTTTTCTTCCATATTCCCGTACTGTTTGGTCACTACTACAGCTGCACTATTTCAGCCTGACCACTACTTCTATTATTCCATTTCCACTACCTGCAGCGTTACTTGCAGATTCCAGTCCAAGTGAGAAATGCAGATGGTTTCTGTATTCTACAGCTTATTTCCTCCCACATCCAAGAGCAGGCTGAGGACCCACAGCAGGACGGACATGCACAGCCTGGGCTCCACTGCAGCTCAGCCCCCTGCCCCGTGTCCTCAGCCCCGCGCCTCCATAGACCCCCCCGTCCTCTTCCCGCGGGAGGCTCAGCGCTCAGCTGAGGCAGACGTTTCCCTCTTGCTGTGTGCTTTTTTGGGAGAATGGGTTTTGGAAACACGCAGTCTCCAGGCAACTTTGAAGTCGTGCCGTGTCCCGAGCCCACTGGTAGCAGCTCGGGAGGCCAGGCGGGAGCGAGAGCTAACGGGAGAGCGGGAGGCAGCCTCCAGAGCCTGGCTCCCATCCAGCCCCCGAGCCTCAGCTTTCAGAGCTTTCATCTCCGGGTGCCTGCGGACAGCCTGCACCCTGCGGCTCCTGCAAAGGGAGCAGCCCCGCCAGGCTGCTGCGGCGGCGGGGAGGGGAGATGCCATCGCAGCTGGGACGGTCCCCAGCACACACGGTGACACAGAGATCTGACAAACCCTCCTGGTGGCCTTGCCTGGGCCATGCCTGGTGGAGATGAAGGTGCCACGAGCTGACTTTTGTACCTGTTGCCAGCACCTCTTTGCCCAGCCCAGCTGCTCCTGTGCCCCTGAGCCTGCAGGGCTGGGACCCCCATGTCCCTCTGTCATCCCTGGGGTGTCACTCCCTGGGAAGCACTGAAGGATGGGTGCCCCCCTCCAAACGCCACACTTGGCACCTCTTACAGCAGCCTCCCCGTGCAGCCGCCTGAATCCAGCCCATGGGCCATGAACAACCCTGCAGCCCAGAGGGGTGCAAAGCAGCAGGGGCTGAGCCCAATCCACTGCTGGGAGCCTCCCAAATGCCACCAGCTCACCCCCTTGACTGAGCTCCCTCCGGGTGGGTGCACCCCCACCACCCTTGTGGGTGCCACTGGCCATGCCCCTGTCCCAGCTCGGCCCCCAAGGCTGGTTGAGCAGAGCTGAGCCTGTCCGGTGCAAAGCAGCACTCCAGGCTGCAGGGACATCGGTCACTCCTCCACGGGGAAATGTTCTCCAGTGTCCCCGGCAGCTCTGGGACCACCTCCAACACCCACTCCTCAGGGAGCTGCTTCCCAAAGCAGCAACCACCCCTGCAGCCAGAGTCTGGAGTGGGGGCCAGCAGCCCCAGACACTGTGGGATCTGACCCTGGGGCCAAAGTCACTGAGACTGCCCCAAATGGCAATTTCGTGAGAGCTGGTGAGCAAAGCCACCGTGGTTAAGCAAAGCCAGCAAAGAGCATCACTGCCAGGCACGGAGAGTGGCCAGGACTGAGCTGCATCCCATCAGGGATGGCTCCTGGGTCCCAAGCTACTCAGGATCAGGCACTGACAGCAGCTTGGCTCCATGGGTGCTGGCTCGGCACTGCTGGGGGTGACCCTGTGCACATGGCAGGGGACAGGCCAGCCGGGGGCCAGGGTCCTGGGAGCAGAGCAGGGCGCTGGTGGACGGAGCTGCTGGCTGCCGACAGCAGCCCCGAGGGTTCTGCCTTGGGTGGCTCAGCACTGGCACTGCCCTCCCCTGCCCATGGGATCCTGCCTTGTCCCCACTCCGCTGGCCCCATGCAATGGCTCTGGCACTGTCCCCATCACTGCTGCTGCCTCTCCCTCTTTAGCCATTGCATTTTCCCCGTGCAGGCAGACAGGCACTGTCCCCCTTCAACCCAGCCCCAGCAGAGGTGACTGTCCCACCCCGCGGCCCTTTGCCCAGTTTTGCCCTTGTGGGCAGCTCCACGTCTGTGCTGGGAGCAGCTCTCCCCGCTGCGTGCTCACGGCCCCGCCATGAAACACAAGCTGTCCCGCGGGCAGGCACCTGCTGCGTGAGCTGCTCTGGCTCCCTCCCGCAGTGCAGCGGGACACAGGGGGGCTCCCCGGCACACGGTGGCTTTTGTCCCCTGCCCTGGCATGTGTGCATGTGTGTGTGCCAGAGGTGCCACGCAGCCGCTGCGGCCAGTGCTGCCCAGCCGGGGTCTGGGTGGCACTGGGGACACACACAGCCACCCCGACACCGGTGACACAAGCACAAGAGGACGGCGCAGGGGCCAGACCAGGCACCGTAGTCCTGGGCCATGGTGCTCTGCAGCGGTGCCCAACTGGGGGCTTTGCCACGGCCACCACGCAGCAGCTTGCACGCATGGGCTGCGGGATGCACACACACACACACACCCCCAGCCCACACCGGGATATACACCGGGAGGGCGATGGGGCTCAGCCCCCTGGCCCCTGGCACTTGCAGTGCCCACCCTGCCTGCACATCCCCAGTGCCTGGGCAGGATGCGGTGCCTTGGAGCCCCCCCGGAAAGTGCTTGGCAGTGCTGCCCCGGAGAGCTGAGCGTCCCCCCGGGTGCCATCCCACCCTGCCTGGGCAATGCATGCGGGGAGCAAGGAGCCCTCCAGGGAGGTGGCACCCAGGCGGGCTGCCCTGCCGCCCCCGGTTGTCCCCAAGGCAGGGCAGGGGCTGCTCGTCCCTCCTCAGCCGGGGCAGGATGGGGAGGTCCGGGCAGAGCCTCCCTGTGCTAAGGGGAAGGAGCCTTTTCTTTCCTTACCTCCTTGCTGGGAAGCCGGGAGGATGGAGAAGAGGAGGAGGACTCCGGGAAGGAGGGGTGCAGCTGCCTGCTTTGCCATCTCTTGAAGCAATGCCCCCGTGCTCTCGCAGTCAGTGTGTTTTATCCCAGAGCTGCTTAATTGTTGCTTCCAAGGATGTGAGGGGAAGGGGGGGTGTGGGGGTTGGAAGGAGGGAGGGGAAAAGGAACGAGAGAAGGGGGGAGAGAGGCACAGGACACTACGTCATGACGAAAGGGCAAACACACAAGCCTCTCCAGGCTATTGGGCTGTATTTTTTTTTCCTTTTTCTTTCCTTTTTTTTTTTTTTTTTTTTTTTTTTTTTTGTAATTTCTCTCCCTCGCCGCTCTCTCCAATTCTGGTGCGGCTCTGCCAAAATTGCAGGGGAGCTGCCAAGGCAGCCTTCGGCGGGAGGGGAGCGGAGGGGCGCGGAGGGGAGCGGAGGGGCCGGGCCGGGGTGGCACGGGGGTGGCACACCCCGGGTGGCACCGGGCCAGCGGCGGGGTGCAGGGGTGCAGGGGTGGGGGCTGCCCCGGCACGGCGGGGGCCCGGAGCGTCCCCCGGAGCGTGCTCGGGTGCCAGGTGAGGACCCGCCTGCAGCGGGGGGACGGAGGGACGGCAGGCGGGGGGACTGAGCGGCGTTAGAAACGAGCTGATGGGGGGCGGCCGAGAAGTGCCGCAGTTGTGGCGTTGGGGTTTCTCCCAGCTCGGTCCCCGCTTGTTTGTCCCCAGCGCCCCGATACCTGCAGCGGCCGGGGATGGGTTGGGACGGGGATGGGGATGGGGACAGGGGTGGCGACAGGGACCGGGACCGGGACAGGGACGGGGACAGGGACCGGCCCCGCTTCCCCTGCTCTTCCCCGAGGGGTCCCGGCCCCGACAGGCCCCGTGCTGGGGCTCGGGGAGGCGGCGGGGACCCGCGGGTTCGGGCCGCAGCCGCCGTGCGCTCGGCTCGGCCCCGCCGCCGCGGCCACCGCCCGCCGTGTCCCCGCCGCTCGGCCCTTGGTGGCCGTTAGGTGGCAGCCGTGGGGTGTCGGCCAGGACGGGGAATTCGCGGAAAAACGAGCCGTCTGCGCCCGGGGCTGTCCGGCCGGGGGGGCACAGCGCGGCCCGGCCCCCTCCCCGGACGGGGTGTCCTGGGGACACGGCGCTCACCCCGAGGCCCGGCCGCCGACAGACACCGCGGCCCCCAGGCCCCTGCGCGGGGGTTCTTGGCCAGCGTGCAGCCGAGCATGGCTGCTCCGGGGCAAAACCGCGTGTCCCCCCCGCTTCCAGGCCGATCCCCCCACCCCGGGTGCAGCCCCGGCTGTGCTGGACCCGGCTCTGACCCCAGGGCGCAAACCCAGGCGCAGCACGGGGCACCTCGAGGTGCTCACGACGAGCTCGGGGACAGGGAGCAGGTGCAGGGAAATGCCCCATCTGCACCCCCCCTCCCTCGTGGGCCTGTGCCCCTCAGCTCCATGCACTCCCTCCACGGCTTTAGAAACTTTTGGGAGCACAAATAATCTGCAAATCCACCCATCTCCCTGCGAGAGGTGCGAGGTCCCCAGCCTGGATGCCCACTTGAAGACGTGAGCTGCATCCTTGCTCCCCTTCCTGGCCCGGCCACTTGCATTATCTCAGCTCCAACTTTATTTTAGAGAAAGTGCTGATGGCTGCAGCCCCCAGAAATCCAGGGGGTGAAAACTGAATAACACTGTCACCCACACCCAGTGCTGGAACACACTGAGGTGCAGGGGGCCATGCAGGAGCTGCTGGGACTCTGCACAGGCACCCATCTTGTGCTCACCTACAGCCCCACAAAAGGCTCTGGGCTGCAGTTTCGGGGATGGGAGGGGAGATGTGAAGGAGCACCCCACAATGCAGCGTGCACAGCCGGGCTGGCTGAGCTGAATGCTCACTGCTGATTGATGTAGTGTTCGAAGAAGGAGACGCACGGTTGTTAAACACAAGCTCTCTGTGCTCCAGCAAGGGCAGCAGCCCAGGAACAGACAGAACAGTGCAGAGCAGCTTTGCAGCAGCATGACCCATGGGCATGCAGACCCTGGTGGCACTGGCCAGGCTCCAGAGAACGCATCCCCAATACATGTACCTGCAAAACATGCAGAGAGCAGGACTGGGAATGTGGCCTTGCTGGAAATTGTAACTGGGGCAGCTGGACGTCTCTAGCAGCTTCCACCCCTTGCCAGTGAAATGGCTCTGACTTTTGAAAGCATGTTTTGTACCTAGAAAGAATAGAGGCAAGGCAAGCTTTCCCCGCCCCTGGCACTCACGCCTGGGACTGGGATCCAAGCCCTTTGCAATTTGGCCACGGCAGAGCCAAGCCATCCATGAGCTGCCCGCGGGGAAGGGCTGGGAGCTTTCACTGGAGTTTGCAAAGTGTCGGGGAAAAGCTGTGCAATTTGGCCAGCACCAGGAAGGCACAGTTATGGGCACGCTCCTATAAGCAAGGGAGAAGGCAGAAAGCAAGAGGCCCAAGTGGAAAAGATGCTGTTTGCTGCATAGCGCAATATCTGGGTGAGAAAACCTGCCTGGAGCAAGAGTGCCTGGGACTGCATCCAGGGCCGCGTGGCAGCGTGTGGTGGACCAAGAGGTGGTCGCCCCAGGGGTGCCTCGAGCACAGGGTCCCCGCTGCGGGTCTCCTCACCACAGCCAGCAGGCGTGGGCCACACGCTGTTCCCATTAACACCCCGAACAGCCTTGCCCGGCTGTTGCACGCCCAGGCACCCCGGTTGTCCCGGGGGTAGCACCAACAGGCCAAACACCGCCGTAAACACACCTTCGCCATAGCTACGGAGGAGCCCCACACCTGCCCCGGGGGGGACAGCATCCGGCACCGCGCGTGTTTACGGCGTTGTCATAGGAAACGCTGCTCGCTCCGGGATGCTGGCGGGCGTGACACAGCTTTACGGTGCCTGTGCGGAGCGCAGGGGATGCATAGCTCAAAGGAAAGCTATGTGTGAAGGGCAGATCATGCCCTCAGGGGAAGGGGCCCCCAGATGTGTCCAACCCCAGCACAAACCCAACATTGTCCAGCCGATGCTGCAGACCCTGTGGGAATGGAGATCTGTCCTTCCTGGGTCAGGGGATTTTCCTCTATCCGAACCTTAGATGTGTTTGCAGCGGGGGATATCCCCCATTGCCCAGGGCAGCACCCGCAGGAAGATCTGCACTGCATCAGCTAGAGGGAGAGGAGACCTGGTGGTGGTGGAGGAGCCCAGAGCTCTGCGTTTGGATGCCAGCCCAGCGAGGGCTACCTGGGGGACAGAGGGCTGCTCTCCCCCGTGGAGGATGGCCATGGTCTGTGAGGAGTCACGACGAGCACAATTTTGCATCATATCTGCTCTGAAGTTGGGTCTGGAAAACTGGGTTTGCCCCAGCGTGCTCCCAGAGGTCATGGAGCAGGGAGAGACTGGGGATACGGAGGTCCTTGCTGCTGCCCTGCCCTGATGCTCGGGTCCGACCAGCATCACCTTGAGCAGGGTCTGTCGCTGTCTTGGGAAGCTGAGGCTGGTACATCTGCTTGGTCCTGCCTGGCATCGTATAGGCTAAAATTTTAATTTCACCTCCCCCTCCCTCTGCTGAGCGAGTGCCTAGTGTTTGTCCACCACATCTTCCAGACTGGTGTTACAGTCTTGAAATCAAGCAGCAAGGGACAGAGACATCACCTCTGCCCATGGGCAAGCACCCTTATGTTTTTGTGCCTTGGTTTACCATCTGTTACTTGCTAGCTAATGAGTTAGCACCCCAAACAGTCTGAAATGCAGACCTCTGTAAGTCTGCCTGCCGCAGCATCCCAGAGGCATGCATCTCAAGGCATGGGGCAGGAGGAGGCAGGTTGTGAGGCTGGACAGGGCTCTGTAGTACCTGGGAATTAAATCAACTCTCTGCTCAGTCTAATTTTTGGTAATCAAAACCTTCAGACTTGTCAACTTCCTTGTTCAGAGCTATTTTCACTATTTTCATGTGAAATCCACCAGCGGGATGCTGGGGTGCAGCGTGTGCTTGGGGTGGTGTACCTGCTGCTTGCTCCAGCCCCCCAGGAGCCCACTGGCCCTTCACAAAATCTGCAAATTGAGCCCTGGCTGCTGTTAAAACACCAGCATCCTTCTAGAGCATCACTGGCTGTTCTAAGCATGGCCCAGGGAGGAGATCTCCATCTCCATCCTCATCCTGGAGCAGTATGAGACACGTTTCAGCAGAGCCACATTTTGGGGCACACTGTGGGTAGGATTGCCATGCTCCCAGCTATGCCCCATGCTTTTTGGTGCATGGACATTTCTCAAAGCATGAAAAGCACGACTGGCCCTGCCCGAGGGTGCTGGGGTTCAGGCTCAGGCTCCCTGCCGGTCACTGGAAGGTCCCAATGTGTGTGTGTGCTGCATTTGATTGAGTAACTAATGGGTCCACACGAGACCAGCCATACCCCACCCAGTCTCAGCTTTCCATTAGCTCATTTCTCTCCCTCAGTCACTTCCTGCAGTCGTCATGGAAAGAGGTCTTGCCAATGTAAGGTTTTGCCAACACGGGGTCTTTCTCCGTGGGTTTGGGGCTGGAGCTGCAGCCACATGCAGTGGTGAGGTGCTCGGCCTTGGCATGACCGCAAGAAACAGCATCAATCACCCATGGCCTCGAAGGGACCCTGAGGTCTCTCGGGAACATTTATCAACACCTGGCTGCAGCACTGGGGTCTGCCTTGGGGAGAGAGGTGAAGGGGAGACAACACCCTCATTGCCCAGGCTGGAAACCTACCCCAGCACCGTTTTTGGACATTCACAAACAACCACAGGATGCCTGTGAAGGTGCCTTCTCTGCAGGCTTCACCTCTCTTTCACATCTTCTCCTCCATTCCCTGCAGGTGACTAGCTCTCCTTGCACTAAGGCACTTGGGCGTACAGCACCTGTGATGCTTGGGTTGTGTTGCCCTGGGACATGAGCTGCAGAATTGGTGGGATCTCCATCCTTGGCCATATTCAGAACTTGCCTGGACAAGGCGCTGAGCGCCCTGACCTGGCTTTGGAGCTAGCCCTGCTTGCGCAGGGGCTGGGCCGGAGACCTCCAGACGTCCCTCCCAACCTAAATCCTTCTATGATTTATATCGAATTCTCTTTGGTATTTATGTAGTTCTGGGAAGTCTTCGGTGATGTATCATTGAGCTGTTATAATCTAAAGCTGG